GCACCGTCGTCGCTTTCGTGTGTGGCGCCACCGAGGAGGGCCTCGGTCAGCTCGCTGGTGGACATGGCTGATCACACCAATGCAGCGACGGGCGTCTGGCAAAAGCATATGTGCGTGCGAGTGTGTGTGGGGGGGATATGTGTGTGTGTGTGTGGGATGTGTTTGTGTGTGGTTGTTTCGTGTCATCAGGTGAGAAGATCACACCACATCACGCACACACACACACACCACATGACATTGACAAAAACACGGAAGATGGCTCGCACGCAAAGAACTGCAAGCGCAAGTGTGAATCACACCTTTCTGTACCTGTGCACGTCGGCTGTGTGTGTGTGTGTGTGTGTGTGTGTGTGTGTGTGTTTGCGTGTGTGTTTGCTCTCGTCTGAACGGCACTTCACCAACGATACAAACAAGGCGCAATCCATTCGCACACAGGATGAGAATGAGATCACATGCGTGTGCATGAGAGCAGGAAAGGAAGAACAACCAAAACGCACGCAGCATAACACAGTGAACTGCTCTTTGTTCGCAGCCCACACACATACACACACATACACACATGCACACATGCACACACAGGTGTGCACCAACACCAACCCCATCCCCGCATCCCATCTCCCACTTCGTTGCTCTTCAACTTGAGCCTCGCCCAACGCACACACTCTCTTCCGCCTGCCTGCGCATCACCACACACAAACAACCGCGAGCCCAGCTCACCGTCTGCCTGCTGTGTGCTGTGCGGATCCGGAAAATTAGGTGAGTTTCCCGGCTATTTTCCACAACGCAAGGGACGTTGAATCTGAACAGCACAAAAAGTATGAATGTCGGTTCAGTTGCCCTTTGCCAATTGCAGCCTGATCTGCGATTTGCACAAGCGTTTGCAGAAACTCCGTGTGTGTATTTTCGGGTGTCGTTGTCGTCGTCGGCAAACATGCATGGGCATGCTCGAGCAGTTCGCGGACTCGTTGTGGCGCCAATGGCTGACATTTACATTTTCATTCGCCACCACCACCGTCATCAAGGTTTTCGAACACACACAAACACGCACGCAAGCCAACTCGCACACACACGCAAGCAAACACGCAAACGCGCTCCTCCTACTTCGCGCCTTGGTCAGCATTGCGCGTTGTTGGTTGGTTGGTTGTGCCGCCAAAACTCGACCGTTACCCCTCAAACGAAGCAAGCACAAAAAAACCACAAGCGAAGCAAAGCAAGCGCACACTGGCCAAACAAGCAAACCAAAGCACACACGCCCTTCCCGACCAGCCAACAGCGCCAAACACCAGGAGACCGCGCAAGCCCGCGCGCGCGCCCCAAATATCATCACCAGCTCGCCAAGCAAGCAAGCACAAACGAAGCCACGCCCCAACCTGCCACACCCGAACAAAACAAAAACAAAAAAACCGCCACAGCGCATCCTTCCTTCCATTCAAACACAAACAAAAACCGCCACACAACACCCACCCGAGAATAGCTGCTGCGGCTGCGCAACATCTTGCAACAACCGACCAGGCCCGAGAGCGAGCGCGCATTGATACGTTCACATCAGCAAACCCCACCTCAGCACCCTCCCCTCCACACCATCATTGCCTTTCTTCGCCTCAGCTGCCCTGTCGCGAGCCATTGCCGCCCAATTTCCCCGCCGCGCCTTCTCAATTCCCAACATCGCCGTGCCGTGCCTTGCTTTTGGTGATTGCGAGGAAATTTCCGTGAGCAACACCAACCACCCACGACAGCAACCCAGCAGCCAACAGCAGCAGCAACAGCAACAGCACGAACCCGTTTGCATTTCTTTTCCCAAGGAAAGCAAAGAAGGTGAGCGTGCAGTGGAACCCACCTTGCCAGCTTGCTTGTGTGCTGCTGTGCTGCTGTGTGATGGTGGGAGAACCCGACCGTGTGCGTGCGTGTGCATGTGTGTGTGTGCATGTGTGTGTGCATGTGTGTGTGCGTGTGCGTGTGTGTGTGTGCGTGCAACTCCCAACAGCCAACTCCCAACAAGCATGAAGCAACAAGTGCACATGACATGATGATCATCTTGTTCCTTCTCTTTTTTCCACATGACAAACGTGTTCCTTCTCTTTTCCACATGCGACGCCCTTGTGCTTTGTTGTTCTTCCTCCTTTCCCTCGTTCTTCCTCATCCTCCTTCCGATTCCGTGTCCACTTCTTCCTTCCACCTTTGACGTTGCTTCTGGGCGCTGTTTGTTCCTTGGTGCTCATTTGCTGTTGTGCTTGCAGCGGTGTTCCCTTCTTTCTTCTCCCCAAACACTCAGCCTCTCCATTATCTCTTTCTCCCACCAAGACGCCGTTTCACACAATCACCACCACCGTTGGGTTGGGCCTTTCACCACAGCACACTCACATCTGGTCTTTCTGTTCCTCCTTTTTCTTTTCCTCTTTGTTCATCAATTGACATCAATTGACATCCTGCTCCTCCCTCACACCCACACACACACACACACACACACACACACACACACACACACACACACACACACACACACACACACACACACACACACACACACACACACGCCAGGCAATTGCCAACAAAGCAAGAAGCCCTGCAAGCTGACGCACGTTCTTGAGGGAGATGTCGATCTTTGGCTCGGGCCTGGGCGGGGGAATGGCATCGAGGCGCGCATCATGGGAGGTGTCATCACGCAGACGAAGCACGTGGTCCGAGGCAGCCTTGGACTTGCCCACCTCCGTCACAAACTCCGTCACCTGCTTGATGGCGTTGATGGCGTTGAAGGAGATAACACCATACTGCGCAAGTTCCTCCGAGCCAAAGCTGTCACTGGAGCTGACGAGGGTGGCGCCATAACCGACACCAATCATGACGGCGGCCGTCAGAATCTGACTTTCGGTGAAGTCGCCAAAGATGTCCACGGCGTACAGCACGCGGGCGGACTTGAGCGTTTCTCGCAGCACCTTCTTCAGCCGGCTGCGCTCGTGGTTCTCCTGTGAACACGGCAGTGGTGGTTGTTGTTGCAATGGTGGTGGCAATGGTGGTGGTGACAATGGTGGTGGCAATGGTGGTGGTGGCAATGGTGGGGGTGGGGGTGGTGAATGGATGGTTCATTGAACGAGTGAAGGAAGTGCAGACTGTTTGTTCACGCACACACATGCACGTACGAGCGTGTGGCGCATGTTCACGTTGGCAAGTGCAAGCGCTGACCTGTGCGAGGAACTGCACGGCCTCAAATCCGTCAAACACATCCGCAGTGAGGTGGCGCTCCTTGTCGCGCTGTTGGCCGCGGGAAATAGGGGGAAAGAAAAAAGAAGAAAAACAAACGAAAATGACAGCAGCAGCAGCAGCAACAGCAGCGAAGGTGATGGTCGACGGGAGGGAGGCAGGAGACGGGAGGGAGGGGAGAGGAGAGAAGAGGAGGGAGCATGGAAATGTTGCATGTGTAAGATGGTGAATGGTGTAAAGGTGAAAGTGCGTATCAGTCACACACACACACAGAGGCAGCACTCGCGAGCAAGACCACACACAAGTGACACCCATCATCATCACACCGTCAAGGCACCAGCTTCACCCATTGTCACACATCATGACTGCTCACGGACCATGTCGAGGTAGCGCTTCTGCCAGATGGAGGTGTAGTAGTTGCGCCAGATGGTGAACATGATGAAGAAGACGAGGATGGACGAAATGATGATGGAGAGCCGCCACGAGAGGCTGAACAGGATGGCAACAGTCGTGATGATCGACACCACCGGAACAATCGCCTCGGGCATCTTTTGCAGCAGTCTGCAAACGACACGACGTCACAGTGTCGTGGTGATTGATGGTGGTGAGGTTGGGAGACAAGGTACGGGGCTGTGGACTGCACTCCAGAAGCGTGACGGGGCTACAGACACACGCACACGCATGCACACACGCACATGTACGCACAAACACGCTTACGCACGCACACACGCATATGCACGCACAAACACGCTTACGCACGCACACACATCCGCAATACACACACACACACACACACGACATGCTGCTACGCACGTCTTGAGGAACTCGCGGTCGAGGTAGTAGTGGATGGTCTGGTTGATGTCGGCCTTTGCGCCGCGAATGTAGATGCGGGTGCAGGACAGGGCACGGCCAAACAGCTCGTCCTTGAGGTGGTTGATGGTCATCTGCATGGTGTACGTCGACAGGATGCGCACGGAGCTGCGCAGAAACGCGACAGAGAGCGCGAGCGTGAAAAACGGAATGAGGCGCTCAATGTCCGGCAGTTGCGGCACGCTGTGGTAGATGACAAAGTTGTCGGCGTCGCACGTGGCCAGGGCCGGCAGGCACGCCACAAGGGCAACACCCAGCTGCTGGAAGGTGAGCACGCGAACAACGCCCTCCACGCAGGCGACAAGGAGGCAGAGGACGGCGAGGAGGCGGCGGACGTTGGTGCCAAGCAGCTGCCAGATGTCCTTTGGGCCGGGCCAGCGCAGCACGTCCTTCTTCTTGGCGTGGATCTCCAGGCGACCCTCCACGGGCTCCAGGGAGCGGAATTTGAGCGGCAGCAGCATGAGCAGGCAGAAGATGACCGTGGACGCATAGCTGATGCCCTCAAAGTACAGCCGCTGGTCGTTTTGCTCGTCATTCACCACGTTGTAGAAGAACCAGATGGTGCGGTACATCAGGTACACGCCCGAAAACTGGCGCAGGCCAAGCGGAACAGGCGCCTACAATGTGGGGAGGGGAGGGGCGGGAGTGGGCAAGTCAAGGGAGGAAGCGAGTGGTGTCAGCACTTGTGTGTTCATGGCCAAGCGTGTGCGGGCGACAGCAAAGGCTGTTGAAGACGGTAAAGACTGAAAGTAACGTGCATACACACACACGTGCGCACATAGGCACACACACACACACACACACACACACACACACACACGCATGCACACAGTTGCATACACACGTGCATGCACGCACCTGTTTGACAAAGGTAAAGAGGATGGTGATGAAGATCATGATCCACACAATTGTCCTGAAGGCGTCGCTGCCAGATGTCACCGGCGGCACGCGCAGACGGTCGTCCTGTGATGGTGAAGATGGTGATGGTGAAGATGGTGGTGGTGTGATGATGTGTCAGTGAATGAGCTGCAGTGAATGACCCATAAAGCCCACACTCATGCACAAAGGGACGGAGAGTGCATCATGTGTGTGTGCGTGTGTGCGCGTGCGTGCTGCCCTGACGTCTGAGAAGGCAAAGAGGTCGGCGACGGTGCGCGTGTCTGGGATGATGGCGATGAGGAAGGAGCATGTGATGCGGCAGATGGCTGTGGCGAGCTGACTCCCGCCGTTCAGTCGAAGGGTCGACCGCGCAGGTCGCTTCCACGGCCTGTGGTGGTGACAAGGCGTGTGTGTATGTGCGTGCGTGCGTGCGTGCGTGTGTGTGTGTGTGTGTGTGTGTGTGTGTGTGTGTGTGTGTGTGTGTGTGTGTGTGTGTGTGTGTGTGTGTGTGTGTGTGTGTGTGTGTGTGTGTGTGTGGGTGTGTGTGTGTGTGTGGGTGTGTGTGTGTGTGTTGGTGAGGAAGGAGAAGTGATTGAATTTGAAGGAGAGAGTGTCAAGAAAGAAGAAGAAGAACAACAACAACAAAACCAACAAGAACAAGAACAAGAAGAGCAAGAACAAGAAGAGCAAGAACAAGAACGCTCCCACGCCGCACCTAAAGGCGAGGAGCCAGAGGAAGAGGAAGGTGCCGATGCTGAAGTAGAGGGCGTATGCAAAGACGAGCTCCAGGAAGCAGCGGGAGAAGAAGTGCGCAATGCCTGTGCGGCCTTCGTGAAAGCGGGCAATGAGCTGGAAGCCCTCACACCCGCAGAAGGAGTTGACATACTTGTCCTCGGCCGCATCACAGCTGATGACCAGGGGAAAATGAGAAGGCGGAGGAGAGGCGAGGGAAGCAAGGTGGTGGTGAGTGAGCAGGCGGCAGTTGTGGTGATGGTGAGCGAAACGTCAACATGCATGTGCGCACACGCACAAACAAGAAACAATAAATCAAAAATTCACACAGAAAGGGAAAAGCATGCAGCCACAAAACGCGTGCATAAATACATGCACACCCATGGCGCACCCAAACTCCTTGACGAGGTTCGCATCGACTTCGGCGTCGGCCTGAGGGGCACGCGCAAAGAAAAAAAAAATGCCAGCAGCAATGACAAGTAGAGGTCGGTGGTGTGTGTGTATGTGTGTGTGTGTGCATGTGTGTGTGTGTGTGTGATTTGGGAGCTATCGTGTGAGCTGTGTGCAATCGGAAGGAAATGCGCAACCAGGCGTGTACATGATGGTGTTGGGAAAAGAAAGGCAAGCATGTCGGCAACACACACATACGCATCACCTGCAGCATACAGACGCACACGCGCGCACACACACACACACACAGACACGAAAAGCATCATGCGCCAAAACAAGGCAACACAACACGCCGCAATGCGTACCTCCTGCTGGTTGAGCGGGACGAAGACCATGAGCATGAGGAGGACATAGCCGCCGTAGATGAGAAAGTAGATGGTGCGGCGCTTGCGCGTCAGGTAGCCCTTGAGCTTGTGCACCAACGTCTTCTGTTTAGTCGGCGGTGGTGGTGGTCGTCGTCGTCGTCGTGATGATGGTGATGCAGTGACAACGCAATTGTGAGAGCTGGGCAGAGGGCGACAAAGGATGTGCCAATACGTGAAGGGAAATTGTTGCTGTTGGGAAGCGCGGCATTAAACATGCGTCCACCACAGGCGCACATGGGCAACGGAAAGAAGCGAGCACACACACACACACACACACAC